GCCAACATCAAATAACGCGGAGATCATCTGTGCAACTCCCTCATTTTATAGATCGGGAGACTGAGGCGGAGGGCATTTTGCTGACTGTCATCCCTTCCCTCCTGGCAGTTCTACCCACACAGGTTTGGGGTTGAGGGAGGTGGAACACTTCCTTTATTATGGGTCCCTAGAGTAAGGCAGGCGAGAAGGGGGTTCCCTCCTGCTCTCCAGGGGGTGGGGAATTCTGGAAAGGAGTCGGGGATAGGAATGCCTGGCTGAGTGGGTATATCTATCATAACAGTAATTAGAGGCGTGGGCAGCATCAAGCAGGCTCATTACGTAGGCTAGGTCTCAGCCTCGATAAAGCTCCCTCTGTACTCACTTAGCATCTTTCCCCAGATGGGGAAACTGAGGTGCTCAGGGTACCACCTCAGGCAGCCCTGCAGAAGGGGACTATGTAACAAGAGCCTGCTAGGGGAGGGGAAGAGGACCCATGGAAGCCACATTACGGGCTCTAAGGCCTCTGGGACTGCTTAGTCACCAGCACCCATGCTGACCGTAGGCACTCCCAGCCCCTGACCAGGAGGAGGACAGAAGAGCAAGGCCAGTGCCTTTCCAGGGCTCAGCCTGGTGGGTCTCAGCCAAGCATTGTGAAAACGATCTGGAGCTAAGGATACAAAGGTCAAAGCGTACAGCACAGGAAGGGGATATCTGTGAGGAAGGCCCAGATATTACAAATAATGATGGGGCTCAAAGGTGAAAGGCTGGGCTGCTAGGAGCTCTCCCCCCTTAGCACCTTGTGGAGCCCTCAAAAAAGACTGCGTGGTCCTCCCTACACCTGGGCCATCCATTCAACAAACAAATGCATTCAACACCCAGAATGCATCAGTCTCTGGGAAGATAATGGGGATACCCGGATAAATAAGGTACGGTCCTTTTCTCCAAGTCACCCAGTCAATCAGCCAGACTCCTCACTTGAGAACCAGACATCCCAGTTTGGCCAAGAAGTCTTGGGTTATGCCCAATGAACCAATGTTATTATTAACAATGTCCACCCTATAGAGCGTCAGTCTGCGGACTGAAAGGTCCCAGGTTCGATTCCCATCAAGGACATGTACATTGGTTGCAGGCACATCCCCGGTATGGGGTGTGCAAGAGGCAGCTGGTCGATGTTTCTCTCTCATCGATATTTCTAGCTCTCTATCCCTCTCTCCCTTTTCTCTGTAAAAAATCAATAAAATAAAAAAATAAAAATAAATTTAAAAAAATGTCCACCCTAGCTCTCAAAAGTGTCCTAGTTTAGCTGAAACCGGTTTGGCTCAGTGGATAGAGTGTTGGCTTGAGGACTGAAGGGTCCCGGATTCGATTCCGGTCAAGGGCATGTACCTTGGTTGCAGGCATATCCCCAGTAGGGGGTGTGCAAGAGGCAACTGATCGATGACTCTCTCTCATTGATGTTTCTAACTATCTCTCTCCCTTTCTCTCTGTACAAAATCAATAAAATATATATATATTTTTAAAAAGTGTCCTACTTTAGACCTTGCTGGTTTGACTCAGTGGATAGAGTGTCAGCCTGCAGAGCGAAAGGTCCCAGGTTCGATTCCGGTCAAGGATGTGTACCTCAGATGATGATCTCTGGTCCTGGGGTGCATGCAGGAGGCAACCAATCTATGTGTCTCTCTCACATTGATGTGTCTTTCCCCATCCCTTCCACTCTCTCTAAAAAAATCAATGGAAGAAAGAAGGGAGAGGGATAGTCAGAAACATTAATGAGAGAGAAACTGCTGCATACCCTCTACTGGGGAGGTGCCTGCAACCAAGGCACATGCCCTTGACTGGAATTGAACCTGGGACCTGTCAGTCCACAGGCCCAGGCTGAGGAGGAACTTGCAACGGAGGTACATGTCCGCAGGCCAATGCACTATCCATTGAACAAAACCAGTGCTGATTTTTTAAATTTAACAATATATTCTAGAGATTATTGCATAATAATCTTTTATGCACAAAAAGCTTTTTCATTCCATTTTATGGCTAAATAATATTTCATTGTATGGTTATGCCATAATTCTCTAAGCAGTTTCTTCTATTTAAAAAAAAAATGCTTTCAGTTTTATGGAAAGAGAGGAAGGGAGAGGGAAAGAGAGAAACTTGGATGAGAGAGAAACCTCAAATAACTGCTTCCTGCATACCCCCAGGAATCAAATCAGCGACCTCTTCATGGATGGGACAGACGCTCAACAAACTGAGCCACATCGGCCAGGCCTTAACCAGTTTCTGGACTGATGGGTATTTAGTTTGTATTTAGGAAACTCAAGGAGCTTGGAGAATTATACCATGTCCAGTGTAGCTAAAGTTGGAAGCCTCCTTCATGTTGGTAACATTACTCATAACCGGAAGCATAGCTCAGTTTTAACCCTGGGGGCAGCGAGCTTGGGGAGGGGAGACAGATACACATGCGTAATGCACAAACAAGTGGAACACAAATAAAAACATTTTTTTCTCTCCCTCTAAAATCAATGAATTAAATTTTTTCCAAATTAGGACAAAGAAGAGAAAAAAGGGCTTCTGATGTAAGTGACACTCGTAGAGCAGCCTGGTTGCTCTACGTGCAGAACTGACATCCAGAGATTTTGGAAACAATTTTTTGGTACTTGGGAAGCTGGTGATCATTGGTCCTGGTGTCTGCAAAAATAAATAATAAAATAAAATAAGAGTGGAGAATAGCAGGTATAGTATATTACCATTATGTAACTCAGGGTGTATATATACACACACACACACACACACACACACACTGCATACTCTTTTATATGCAAAGAACATCTCTGGAAGGATATTAAAAATTTGATAATCTTGGTGAGCTGGGAAGGGAAATTAGGTGTTTGGGGGCAGGTGAGAAATTGTACTGTGTAATCTTTTATACTTAGTGAAGTTTCAACCATGTGAATTTATTACATATTCAAAATGACAAGCAAAATTTTAAAAAAGTTAAAAAAAAAAAAGTCAATAAGTTTCCGGAGTCCTCCTTCTGTGTCTGCCCATGTGGTTCCACTGATTTGCTCAACAGAATCCTTTTTACCCTTCAAAGCTCAGTTCAGAGCAGCCTCTTCCAAGAAGCCCTCCCTGATAGCCTCTGCTGCACATTCAGAAGGGCCTTCTTCTTCCGCAGCCTTGAACATGAAGTTGCTGTGCACATATCCCGCTTTATCCACTAGACTGAAACTTCTCCTGGCAGGAACTGGGTCCAGTTCATCTCTGATCTTCCTGTAGCACTGGGCTCTTTCAAGAGCTACCACCATCTCTTCCCAAAAGCTTAGTGAGGCTAGACAGCTGGGTGCTTTTATTTGACAGAGGAATCACCTGAGTTTCACTGGGGTGAAAGTCAAGAGACTTGCTTAAGATTACAAAAAGAGAAAAGTTAGTGGTTGCAGGAAGCAGATTTCCAATCAAATCCAGTGTTAGGCTCATGCACTACCGTTGCTGCTGCCCTTTATGTACATCCAGTGGTCTGGTCTTGCTTTTATTTCCAGCTTTCTTGTGCAATAGTCCTAACTCATCTCACACTAGTCTGGCTCAGTCCCTCTTACCCTCGCCCTCTCCCAGCAGCCAAAGCATTGCTCACTTCTCTCCCTCCTGCTTAAATGCTCAAAGCCTCTCACTGGCTTCCCTTCCCACCACCTGTACTCCAAAAAAGTCCACTTTCCTATGCAATTTTTTAAAAATATATTTTTATTGATTTCAGAAAGGAAGGGAGAGGAAGAGAGAGATAGTAACATCAATGAGGAGAATTACTGATTAGCTGCCTCCTGCATGCCCCATACTGGGGATGAGGCCTGCAACCCAGCCATGTGCTCTTGACCAGAATCAAAACTGGGACCCTTCAGTCCGCAGGCGGACACTCTATCCACTGAGTCAAACCAGCCAGGGTTCCTCTGCCATTTTCATGAGTCCCTAAGGCCTGCCCCAGCTTCATCTTCCCAATTCCCATGAGCTCTCAGAAATTGCCAAGAATATGTCTTAGTGCTTCCCAGTGGCTTCCTGGGCCTGTGCATGGAAGACTCTTCCTCTCTGCAGCTGGAATATGCCCGTTCACTGGCAAGACCTGGACATATGTCACCTAGGCAGCATTTTCTTACTTCAGGTCTTAGTCCCCACCAAGCCCCAAACACTTGAAAAAAAAAAATGAACTATTGTTAAATGTCCAGGCTGTAGATTTATCCTGACCGAGGTCTACTTCTTGCTCTTTGTGCGACCTCGGTCTCAGCTTCCTCCACTGTAAAATGGGGATAATGTACGTCTGGAAATGCGGACTCATCTGGTGGGGGTGCCGAGTTGCTGGCAGGAAGGAGCCCTGTGTGGCCCAGGACAAAGTTTGGTGGGTTCCTTACTGACACTTATCACCACGTGCCATTCTCCACCCCTGCCGCTGTGACCAAGCCCTCCGCGGCCCTCCACCCCCTCCCCAAGAAGCCAGGCCCTCCAGCCCCACCCCTTCGGCGGCAAAGGACAAGCTGGGGAGGAGGGCACCGAGGGTCACGCTAACATCACAGATTAGAGGCCGCGTGGTCACTTGGCAGATTTGCAATTGGAAGCAGAGGACCGTTGGGGGAGGGGACGGTTGGCAATGGCAGTCTTAGAGGAGTCTCCACTCAAGGTCAAGGTGCCCGCCCAACCGGCGGCGAACCGCAAGGACTTCTCCTCGAAGCCCCGCCCCTCCAGGGGATCCAACGCCTCTCTCTCCTCGGAATCGGAGTACGTTCCCTTTAAGGCGCTCGGGAAAGTCATCGCATTGGTGGCCGGCCAACCGAGCGCGGTGCTGTTTTGTCCCTCGTGGGCCGCCGTGGGCCGGGTCGGGCGCGTGGGCGGGGCAGGGGAAGCGCCGGTGGGGTCAAAGGTTACAGCGCGCACCACGTGGGCCGGTGACTCTGTCCTTCCCGCAGCGGCCGCGGCGAGCAGGGCACTCGGGTTAGTGGCGCGGCGGGCGGCGCGGACAGCTGAGCCGGACGCCGGATCCCGCCGCCATGGTCATCAAGACGGACGAGTTGCCGGCGGCCGCCCCGGCTGACAGTGCCCGGGAGCCCAGCTCTCAGGCTGGTGGCAAGGGGCGGCCAGGTTCGACCGGTGAGCGGGGCTGAGGCCGGCGGGGAGCCAGGAAGGGTGGGCTGCCCCGGGCCGAGCGGGCGGGCTGGCTCGGGGTTCCGAGGGGACCGCCGCCTTCCCTCCGCGCCGGGGTGGGTGGCATCTCGCCGGGCCCTCTACCGGGCCGCCCCCGCCCTGAAGGTCACCTTTCCTAACGCCCCCAGCTGCGGCCCGGGCTTCGCACGTGGGGTCCCAGCGAGGGCAGCGGCGGCGGGGACACTCGCGTCAAGTCGCGGGGACACGTGCGCGCACACGCGGTTTCGGGGTGCGCCGCCGCCGCCGCCGCCGCAGGTGGATAGAATCGGCGGCCCCACCCCCTCTGTGCCCCGGCACCGGGGAACCCTCAGGTCTGGGGTCATTGACACTTGCTCCTTCAGGCACCCCTCCACGTCAGGATCCCAAGCGTTCCCTGTGCACATCCTGCAGTCCTGCAAGGAAGGCTGCACTTGGCACTTCCAGGCTTGGTCTGCGGGAAGAGCGGTAGTCAGGATGAGTATTGCGAGGGGGTTTCTCTGGTTCATTCTCAGAGGAAAGGCTGTAACCCCAGGTGTTCACGCTCTGCTCTCGGCTTGGTTAGGGACGGGCCTGGTCGGCGGACTAGGGGGGTCTGCCTGTGTATGGGACCAAAGCCAAGCGCCTTGGCAGGAAGAGGTGTTTGTGCCAGAACTTGATCATTAACCCGCCTTATTGCGAAAAGTGGGTCGGCCCACAGTTGCAGTTTTTAAGGCAAAGGTCATTGGTGTGGAGTGGAGCTCCCCTCGCTTCCCCATGGGGACCGTGTGATGGTGGCGTTGGGAGTGGCCGCAGCAATCTCCATTTCTCCTGGGCCTCTCTCTTCCCTTCCATCATGTCTCCTAGTCTAGCCTTGAGGCCGAAGCTCCATCCCAGCCAGTCAGTTGTCATCTTCCAATCTTCCTCAGAGGCTCAGGGCTGCACTCTGGTCCCTGTCTGCCCTGTGTGGTCGTGGGAGGCCAGAATTACCCTTATTTCCCATTCTTCCTCTACACACACACACACACACACACACACACTCTCACACTGTCCTCAACAGGACTTGTCATTTTCATTTTCCTTCCCAGCTTCTGTTGAGTCAGGGTGGGCACAGTGTTAGGTAAGCTCTTTGATACCCGAAACACCTGGTTTACCTTGTGGTAGGGGATGGGTACTTAGGCAGCTTTCCTGATTGCCTAGATCTGGCCAAGGTTTGAGCTGATGGACAGGTGCTGGTGACTCCAACCTTCCAGGCTTTGCTCTGATGTGGCTCTGACTAGAGGGGCCAGACAGGAGGAGGTACATAGGAGGGGCTGGCTGATTTCCCCTCCAGCAAAGAGACCCGAAGAGAGGAAGTGACTTGCCCAAGGTCACACAGCGGTTTAGCTGCTGAGAGCATTTGGATTTGCAGCTCAAGGCCAGCATGCCAAGGCTGCCCTGCCTGTCCCAGGAGAAGGTGGGCCATGCATGCTGATTGGGACCATGTGCTGTGAATGAGAGCTAAGGAGGGAAGTCTGGTGGAGGATTTCTCTGAAGGTCTGAGTGAAGTCCCTGCTCAGTTGTGTGCTGAGAGGCTCTGTCTGGAGCCACCTGAGCCAGGGGAAGGGCACAGCTGCTCATTTTGGGGAAACTGGGAGCATACTAGCAGGTGGAACAGTGGCTCCCCAAGTCTCTGGGAAGCTCGTTAGAGATAGGTAGAACTTGAATTACAGCCTGCCTGACTCGATTCAGAGAAGGAGGGGGCACCCCCAGCAGGCTCCTTACCTTAGGACCCAGCTCTGGAAGGCTCCCCAATCTCCTTGAAGAGGTGATCTGGGCCTTTCTTGGGGGTTAGGGGAGCGAAGGTCAGTTAGCTTCTTGGGAATAAAGCTACTTTTAGGGGTTAAGAGAACAGGCAGGTTTTTCAAGTTCACAGTGGTGTGTCTAGTTCCTTCTGCTTAGGGGAGGGCTCCTTGGAGTTGGGGCCCGGAGCTAAGAAGGCCTGGCAGACTGGGGAGGAGTTTGGGGGCTTAGAGGAGCTTCCTGATAGGATCCCAAAGTTCTTCTCTTGGGCAGGTCAGAGTGGAGTAGCTTGAGGAGCACTGCACTATCCCCAGTTCCTGCAGGCCTGCTTCTGGTCTGGGGGACAGGAAGGAGGAAACAGGTGGCCACATCCTGGGGGCCTTCCACAGGTGCTGGCCTGCCCTCACCCCTTTCCCTTGGAGACCTAGGTCCCTGGGTTGGAGTGCTGTGTCTTTTGGGGCCTTACTTCCTGCTGGAGCCTCACCTGCTAAGGCCTTGGCTGGGGCGGGGCCTGGCCCTGGCACAGTCTACTGAGTGAGGCCATGCCAGGCTGGGGAAGGCACACACAGGCCACCCGAGACGGCCTAGTTTCTTTTCTAACCCCTCCTTTCTGCTGCCCATGGGGTCCCCTGCTTCCAGGCCAGGGCAGGGCCACGCTTTATCTGATCATTCTGATCTGGCCAGTGAAAACGGGGGGGGGGGGGGGGTACATATGCAGTGACATTTGGGCACCTTTTCCCCTTTCCCTAAAGCCCGAATACTCAGGGATGCTCCCTGTGATGAGGAAACACTGGCTCAGGGGTGTAGAGATGGAGGAGAGGGTTAAGAGCTTATGGCTGGAGATGATGCGTGCCCTGGGCTGAGGCCTGGAGGAGAAAGGAGTACCTGTGGGTGCTGCAGCCTTGGGGAGTGGCACTCAGAGGCAGCAGCTTGGGCGTCTGACAGACCTGGGCGACCTGGGCTTTTGGTGTGTGTGTTGACCTGGCTCGGCTGCCTGTGCCTCCGTGACCTTGGGCAGCTTGCTCACCAGTCATCTGGAACCTCAGTTTCATCAAGTAAGATGGACTGGTCAAGCTGATGAGGGAACTGCTGTGGGCTGGGCCTACAGTGAGCATTAGCTTTATGGAAACCGGGAGAATGGAGGCGGTTGTCCCTGCCACTCGTGCCGTCGCCTGCCCCACTCCCTTCTCCAGAGGGTTAGGGTGTGTTTGGGAAGGAAGGTAGGATCGGAGGGGCTCTGCCAGCGTCTGGCCCTTAGTACCATCTGGTGTGTGCAGGATGAACACTTGGTGGGGGCTCTGGAGAGGCTGAGGGCCTGGCCCAAGCTGGGCCATCAGGGCCACCTGGGATGGGACTGGACTGGAGGGAAGAGGCCTGGAGTGAGTCTGGTTCCCCACCCCCACCTGGTTAGTATGGATGCCGGAGCAGCTCTGGCTGGGCCGTGGCAACAAGTCAGAGGCCCTGGGGAAGGCGCCGTGGCGAGGCTGGGCATGTTTTCTCCACAGGTTCCCTCTACAGCTGAACAGCCTTTGGCCTCTAGCTGCCAGCTCCCTTTCCCTCCCCGCGGGAGAGACTTGGTTTTCTCCTGGCAGAGCAGGGGCTGCTGGGAAGGGAAGGCAGAGCCTGCCAGCTTCTTGGGAGAGCTGGCGGCCCGGGGCACGGGTGCAGTTGATCTCTGGGAGACTGGGAGCCCAACCCTCCTCCCACCAGAACCAGTGACTCCCAGGAAGGGTCACCTGCAGGGGGCAGCATGAAGAGGCCCCAGCTGCCCCTTGACCCAGGAGGCAAGCAGGGTCTCAGTGGCTGGGACTGGTAGACGGGGTGGTCACCTCATGGCCTGGGCCTGGGCCTGGGTCTGCACCAGCTGTTGCCGGCAGCTGGCTGAAGCAGTCCTGCCCACCCCCACTGGGGTTGGGACCGAGGAGAGGACCCCCTTGCTGGGCCCTGTCAGCCAGTCTCCAAGGCCCTCGGTCCTGAAGGGCCCAGGTACCCCAAATGCTGGGTTCTCCTGTCCCCCTAACAGCTTTGGCAGCAGTGACCCCCTTTCAAGGGGGTGCAGGGCGGTGGGTCTGAGTGCCGGTAGCAGCTCCAGCTGGGGTCCTGGAGCCACCAGGGCCTCCTGTCCCACAGCTGTCCTTCTGGCCGACCTTGAGCAGGATTCAAGGCAGGGGGAGTGTGCCCTTCCCAGGGCCGCCCCGGCAGGCCTGGCCCCACTGAAACCCGAAGCCAGCCAGAGCTCCAGTCCCGCGCCGACCAGCTGCATGGGGGCAAGGGTGGTGGCAGAGGCCGGAGTAAGGGACACAGAGTGTGCCGGGCCTGAGCCGGAGAGCTGGCTGCCTGGCTGCGATGGCGGTCAAGAGACTCCAGAGTCGAGGAGAGGCCAGCCGCTGACTGTACCAGGTGGGCTGTTGGGGGCAGTGAGCCAGGTGGGCAGCCCCTTGTGGGGAGATCACTTGGCCTTCATCTAGTCTAATCTCCCTACCTACCTTCAGGATTCCTTAAAGGAAGGAGGAAGGGTAGGTCTCCCTGTCCTGGGGGGTGGAGGTCCCTGGGAACCAGCCACATTCCTTTGAAATCTGATAGGGGATTGGGTACCCCCCTGGGGTGGGAACCTGGTGCCTGGTGCCTTCTGGGCAAGCTCCCTGGGCTGCAGAAGTGGGAGCTGTAGCCATCCTGTCTTCCTTGCCCTCCTCCCTGTCCTCCCAAGCCTGGGCTCAGAGTGCAGGCCACCTGCCTGGGTTGGACCCCTGATTTCCCACTTGTGGGGTCTCAGACCTCAAGGCTGCTGTTCCTATTTGGTGGGAGCCCTTCCTTTATCACTTCTCATCCTGGGGGCTCACCAGCCTGCAAAGTTTTTCTCAGACACTCAGTTGGGGGAAGTGCCTCCTGCTATCTCCTGCCATCTCTCGATCTGCCTTTTGAAAGCTGACCAACCACTGCCCTTCTCCCCGCCCTCCCGTCCCCCGTCTGCTTCGTCATAGCCAAGTTCTCCCTTTGGTTTTGGCTGCTCACTTTATAGGGGCTTGGGGTTTCGCTGCACTGTGCACTCCCTGGAAGGAGAGGTCCTTGTATGTCCTTGTGGTTCTCGGGAGAGGTGTGCTGGGGATGGGGACTGGGGGACGATGGTCATTGAAGGTGGCTAGGGTGGAGGGCAGTGTGGCGGCGTGGTGGTGCAAGAATCCAGAGTTCACTCTTGTCTCTTGACCTTGGACAAGGCTCTGAACTTTTCTGGGCCTCATGCATCCTAATTTGGGGGAAGGAGGAGGAGACTGTATCTGAGCTCCTAGTGGTACTGTTTTTCACTAAGTTGAGGGGACCTAGGGAAGAGGGAGTGGCTTCCTGTGATGTCCCCCTGGCCTGCCCTTCAGTGCTGGGCTTTTCTCCTTTCCCAAGAGCCCTGTTCCACGTTTCTGTGGGTCTCTGTAGGGTCCAGCTCTGGGGAAATGCACCTCAGCCCCATTCCTAACAGGGTAGGAAGAGGAGGGGCGGGTCAGGGTGGAATGGGCTGAATCCAGGGCAGGGCTGGGCGAGCTGACCTGTCTGGAGCTTCCAGGCAAGCCAGGGGCCAGTTTGGCTGCCAGGCAGACCCTGGGCGGGAAGGCTCCTGGGCCCAGAGAGCACCCGGCAGTGCTGGGTTTTGCTGGAGGGTTTCTGTGCGGCCTCTGCTCCCCAGGAGGCAGGAGGCTCTCCTTTGTCCCCCCCTTAGTACTTGGGTACAAATAGAAGGTTTTGTCACCTCTTCCCCCTCTCTCAGCGGCATGTGGGTTGGGAGTTTTTCACAAATACTCAACTACCTGCTTATAGTAATTAATTCGGTGCCTCTCTGTTGGGCCCGGGCAAGCTGAAGGAGGAAGATAGAGAGTTGGTGAGAGCAGCCACCCAGAGTGCAGCAGATCAAGAGCCTGGGAGGTGGGGATAAAGGGAGGCGCTAATTCTTCAGAGAAGAGGGTTCATTTCACTTCGGCTCTTATTGAATGAGTAGGAGCTTGCCCAATGGAATGTGATATGGGGGCAGAATGAACAGAGGCACAGGTGGGAGGTAGGATGTGAGGCCTATTCTCAGGCTTCTGAATGGTTTGGTGTAGCTACACTTCGACAGGGAGAGCTGGTGGGAGCTGAGGATGGAAGGCTGTGCGGTGGGAGTATTGAGAGTTCCGGGTAGCGCTCCTGAAAAAGGGGAAATGGCCTGTGCCAGCGCTGCGCCAGAGTCACAGCGTGCCTGGTGGAGATTGGTGACTACATTGGGGCCGTGGATATTCATGGAGCAGGGGCCGGTTTGTGGAGGAAGAGGAATTCCATGCTGATGAGATGGTCTTTGGTGATGCCTGAGGGATGGCCACTTTGAAATGCTTGAGCAAGGCCTAAATTGGCCATCTAAGCTCTGAGGCCTCAAGGCACTTGAAGCATGGGAGAGGGAGAGATGAGAATGAGGGGAGGCGGTGGGACTGCTGGAAGACGACGGGGCAGGAGAGGGGCATCAGGGAAGAGGAGGAGGAGGAGCTGCTGAGAGAAGCTGGGCACATTAAGGCCAGAGGACCCTGGGGTTGGGCTCTCAGAGTGGCATGGTACCTCTGGGGAGAGTGGCTTGGATAAGCGTGCTCAGAGGAAAGCTGGGCTGGTGGACTGAAGAGCAAATGGGAGGGAGGACCCGGGGTGTGGAAGGTTCCAGAAGTGGCCTGCAGGTGGAAGTTTTGTGCCCATGGTGAGGTGGGACTAGGGCTGAGTCTTGGGAGAACAGGCAGGCACCACCCTATAGGACATGTGCCCACCCTGGTGGGTGAGGTGGATACCCCCTCTGACCAACGAGGCCCATTTGCTCAGCTCCTTCATTGTTGCCCACAGAGCTGCCGTCAGTCATGCTGCTGAATGGGGACTGTCCGGAGAGCCTGAAAAAGGAAGAGGGCCGCACCGAACCGCCCCAGGAAAATGGGCTGGATGAGGCTGAGCCGGGAGAGGAAACCACTGGACAGGAAGTCATTGTCATTCAGGACACCGGCTTTACTGTGAAGATCCTGGCCCCAGGGATTGAGCCCTTCTCCCTACAGGTGAGAAGGAGAGGAGCTGGAGACCAAGCCCCAGGTCTCTTTGGGAGGACAAGGGTGGGAAGACAAACCTTGCCTTTGCTCGTCCTGGCCCATGTTGTAGGTGGAAACCTACCTGTGCCTCGCCCAGGGTCCCCCAGCTGACCCAGTGGCTGTGGGGCTCGGGTTCCCTCATTGTCCCATTGTTGGGGGGAGCTTCCGGCTGGGACTGTTGGGGAGAGGTGTGGTGGTGGCTGGGTGGTGGTGGGGTTCCAGGGCTCCCAGTCCTCTGCTTTCTTCTCTCAGGGAAGCCACCGCTCTGTGGCGGTGTCTTTACCGTTTGCCTGAGAGGAGAGTGTATTGGGTGGTCTCCAAGAGCAGAGCCAACCCAGAGGTCTTGCAGAGTGTTAACTCATGGGGGAACCAATGCCCTCTTAAGTCTTCTGTACCCAGAGGCTTGAGCCCAGAGCACCCCTTCTTTTTTCTTTTTAATCCTTACCCAAGGATATTACCACCATTGATTCTTAAAGAGAGTGAAAGGGAGAGAGAGAGAAACATTGATGTGAGACACATTGATTGTCTCCCGCACGTACCCCGACCAGGGCCAGGGATCGAACCCATGACCTTTCTGTCTTCTGGCCAACGCTCTAACCACTGAGAAACCAGCCATGACCCAGAGCACTACTATTACTACTACTACTACTACTTCTTCTTCTTCTTCTTCTTCTTCTTCTTCTTCTTCTTCTTCTTCTTCTTCTTCTTCTTCTTCTAAATATATTTTATTGATTTTTTTATAGAGAGAGAATTAGAAACATCAATGAGAGAAAGACATCGATCAGCCACCTCCTGCACATCCCCTACTGGGGACGTGCCCGCAACCAAGGCACATGCCCTTGACCGGAATCAAACCCGGGTCCCTTCAGTCCGCAGGCTGATGCTCTATCCACTGAGCCAAACCGGTTTCGGTGGAGAGCACTTCTTGCAAAGGAAGGCCGTTTGCCCTGGGGACCTTGGCATTGGTCAAGGGAGAAAGCAGGATTGCTGTGTTCTTCCCCCACTGTTATCTCCTTCTGCTCAGGGATTGCTCAATTGCAGGAGTAGTTTAGGCCTGAGGGTAATGGGGCCAGACTGTGTCCTGAACTTGTGCATAGATCCTGTTCACACGCACATAGTGTAGACAGGAATGTATGTGCGGACAGGCTTGGAGTTTACAAGCCAAACGGTGGGAAAGTGAATATTTGGAGCATTGATTCTAGGGACCCAGGTACTTTAGGCTGTGAAAGTGGTATGTCCTCACCAGGGCTTTTCTCTGGCAGGTGTCCCCTCAGGAGATGGTACAGGAGATCCACCAGGTGCTCATGGACCGTGAAGACACGTGTCATCGCACCTGCTTCTCGCTGCACCTGGATGGCAACATGCTGGACCACTTTTCAGAGCTGCGCAGCGTCGAGGGGCTGCAGGAGGGCTCGGTGCTACGCGTGGTGGAAGGTTTGTCTGGAAACCGGGCAGCCTGCCAAGGGAGGGCACCCAGAGGCAGGGCCAGGCAGTGCTCCACTCACGCTGGCTGGTCACCGAGAGCGTGTGGAGGCTCCGGAGGCATCAGTCTGTGGAGGCAGTACGGGAGCACAGCCTGCTTCTCAGGCTGTCACCTGCACACCTTCAGCTTCAGTCGTGATTGAAAACAGAATACCAACCAAAGGCCTGATATCAGTCCAATCAGATTCTATAGAGATAAAATTAAATCTCTCAGGAAACTGAAGTTTGGGAACTCAGGCCCAGTGTGGAGTGATCAGCTGGTGTGATAAGGATGATTTGCTTATAAAAAACAAAAGCTTCAATGCACTTGGCTCTCCTGAGGAGAATGGCTCAGAGGGTCCAGGTGTGTCAGCGTATTAAGAGGAAATGTGGAAAAAATGTAGCCCAGCTGTACCCGAACTTGCTTGGTCATGGAAGCTCTCTCCTCCCCACAGTGAGCCCCCCTTAATGTTTCACAAAACACGTACCGGGGAGCGGTGCTGTGATCCGGATCCTGTTGGTTTCGGGGCACCCCTGGGTGAGGGCTGCCGGGGCCCAGTAGTCTGCGGGTGCTCACCCTGACGCTGTGAGCAGAGCAGGGGCTTTGTGGGCTCCCCGAGGCCTGTGTGCACTTCCGGGGCATTTCTGTGCCTTTTGGCAGAAGGTTCTCTGCAAACAAGGATTCCTGCCAACCAGCAGGCAGGTGTGTGTGTGTGTGGAAATCAGAGCTCCAGACTATGAGTTTATAATGGAGCTTGTAAGTGGAAGCCTACAATTGAAAAATTAAGACCACGATGATTGTACACATGCAGCCATCTCTGCGCGGCAGGTGTTGCCGGGAGCAGAGCCCGGGTCACACCCCGCCGCTTCCCTCCCCACAGAGCCGTACACAGTGCGTGAGGCCCGAATCCACGTGCGCCACGTCCGAGACCTGCTCAAGAGCCTGGACCCGTCCGATGCCTTCAACGGGGTGGACTGCAACTCCTTGTCCTTCCTGAGTGTCTTTACCGATGGCGACCTGGGAGGTGAAGGAGGCATTGGGGCTCAGGTTGGGCAGAGGGGTCAGGAGCAAGATAGCCAGGGGCTGCCCGGCCGGCGTGGCTCAGTGGTTGAGTGTCAACCTAGAAACCAGGGACCACGGTTCAATTCCAGGTCAGGGCACATGCCCGGCGGACTCGGTCCCCAGTGTGGGGTGTGCAAGAGGCAGTCGATCCACCATTGATGTTTCTGTCTCTCTCTCCCTTCCTCTCTGAAATCAATAAAATAAAAAAATAAAAAAGATAGCCAGGGGTTGGGGGAGGTGTCGAGGGCTGAGCCATCTCACCTGGAGGGGGCGGGTCAGAGGCATGCAGAGTGGGGCCAATCTAGGTGGGGAAATGGGTAGCCCCTGGGTGGCCCTGTGTTGACATCAGCCTCGGGTCCCTCAGACAGCGGGAAGCGGAAGAAGGGCTTGGAGATGGACCCCATTGACTGCACACCGCCCGAGTACATCCTTCCGGGGAGCCGGGAGCGGCCGCTGTGTCCCCTGCAGCCTCAGAACCGGGACTGGAAGGTGGGATTCCCCGCGGAGAGCCGGGGGCAGCCTCTGGAGGGTGGGAGCCGCCGCAGCAGGAGGCCGGGCCCCTCACACTCGGCCGTCCCTGCAGCCCCTGCAGTGCCTGAAGGTGCTCACCATGAGCGGCTGGAACCCGCCCCCTGGGAACCGCAAGATGCACGGGGACCTCATGTACCTGTTTGTGATCACGGCCGAGGACCGGCAAGTCAGCATCACGGCGTCCACGCGGGGCTTCTACCTGAACCAGTGAGTCTCTGCGCGGCCCCGTTCTGGGTCCTGGGGCAGCTGCTCGGAGCTCCCTGCTCAGTGACCGCCCTCTCTGCAGGTCCACAGCGTATCACTTTAACCCCAAGCCTGCCAGCCCCCGCTTCCTCAGCCATTCCCTGGTGGAGCTGCTCAACCAGATCAGCCCGACCTTCAAAAAAAACTTCGCTGTGCTGCAGAAGAAAAGGTAGTGCCTTTGCCTCGTCTCTGCCCCGGTTCCCTGACTCACCAGTCTGAACGCGGGCAAGTCTGCCCTGAGGAGCTGTGCCCCAGAGCCTCCCTGAGGGCGCTGCCAGCCAGGCCTTCGGGGGCAGGTCTCAGGACGGGAGACACCGGAGCTGGTGGGGGGCCAGGGCAGGGCTCTCAGTTTGGCGGGCTGCCCATCTCCCCTCCTCTGCCTGCCGCAGGGTCCAGCGCCACCCGTTCGAGAGGATTGCCACCCCGTTCCAGGTGTACAGCTGGACGGCCCCCCAGGCAGAGCACGCCATGGACTGCGTGCGCGCGGAGGATGCCTACACCTCCCGGCTGGGCTACGAGGAGCACATTCCTGGACAGGTGCTTGCAGCCTAACCCTGCCGTCCCCGGGCACCTCCTTCTCCCTCTTCCCCCTCCCTTGGTGGGTGCCAGGCTGGGTTCTGTGCGCCTCCCTGGAAGCTCCATCTGCTTCTCTGTATTGTTCACTTGGGAGCCTGTGGGGCTGTCCATGGGGAAGTGGGGGGAGGAGCTGCCCAGTGCAGATTGTGGGGTACAGGCTGAGCCGTGTCTCCCTCCCTGGTCCCTCTCCAGACCCGGGACTGGAACGAGGAGCTGCAGACCACGAGGGAACTGCCCCGCAAGAACCTGCCAGAGCGGCTGCTTCGAGAAAGAGCCATCTTCAAGGTACCATGTCCCCCGTGTCTGACTGAGCCTCAGACCCACCTGTACCGTTGCTGGGTTTTTTTTCTTTTTTGGTTTTCTTCTGGACAGGAAGGAAGAAGAAATGCTTTAAATTCTTTGATAATCTTACCGCCTAGAGGTGGTGATGGTGAAAATAAGATCTAAATGTTTTGGATACTAACTTTATCAGGATCTGTGCCAGGTGTTTCAGAGGCATTATCTCCTGTAATCTCTCAGACAACTTGTAAAGTTCCATACTTTTATTGTTGCTGCTTTATAGACAAGAAAATGAGTCCAAGAGGTGACCTGAGTTCACCTGGCACACAATTGATGGGTCCCACTCCTCGTTGACCGCCAAGTTCTCAAAGCATAAGCGATGTTTTTTCAAAAAACGGGGTTTCTTGCCCTTTTTCAAATGTGAGGAAACAGCAAGAGCCCTCGGCCCCCAAGGTAGCCTGCTCGCCTCACCCACGGTGAGCGTGGCCAGGTGGCCCCGCCCAGCCTCTGCCTTCCCCGCAGGTGCACAGCGACTTCACGGCAGCGGCCACGCGGGGCGCCATGGCGGTCATCGACGGCAACGTGATGGCCATCAACCCCAGCGAGGAGACCAGGATGCAGATGTTCATCTGGAACAACATCTTCTTCAGCCTGGGCTTCGACGTCCGCGACCACTACAAGGACTTCGGCGGGGACGTGGCGGCCTACGTGGCGCCCGCCAACGACCTGAACGGCGTGCGCACGTACAACGCGGTGGACGTGGAGGGGCTGTACACGCTGGGCACGGTGGTGGTGGATTATCGCGGCTACCGCGTCACCGCCCAGTCCATCATCCCCGGCATCCTGGAGCGCGACCAGGAGCAGAGCGTCATCTACGGCTCCATCGACTTCGGCAAGACGGTGGTGTCGCACCCGCGGTACCTGGAGCTGCTGGAGCGCACCAGCCGGCCGCTCAAGATCCTGCGGCACCGCGTGCTCAACGACCGCGACGAGGAGGTGGAGCTCTGCTCCTCCGTGGAGTGCAAGGGCATCATCGGCAACGACGGGCGCCACTACATCCTCGACCTGCTCCGCACCTTCCCCCCGGACCTCAACTTCCTCCCGGTGCCCGGCGAGCGGCTGCCCGAGGAGTGCACCCGCGCCGGCTTCCCCCGCGCCCACCGGCACAAGCTGTGCTGCCTGCGCCAGGAGCTGGTGGACGCCTTCGTGGAGCACAGGTGCCGAGCGAGGCTGGTGGGCGGCCGGGCCGGGCTGCTCAGCAGTGGGTGCTTCTGGGCTGATCTTGAGGGGGGAGTGGCTTTGGAAAGGGGAGACGAGCCAGCCCTGGCCACGGGCGTCACAGACTCGGCTCCGGCCCTACCCTCCGTCAGGCTCACAGCCCAGTGATCAGCTAGGCAGTGGCTCTCAGCCGAAGGGGCTCTGTCCCCTTAGGGAGCATGTGGAAATTGCTGGGGTGTCTGAATCTGCTGCGGGGAGGGGGGAGGCTGTAAGGAGGGGCAGGGGATGTCAAGGCTGCTGGCATTTAATGCACAAGAGCCACATCAAATGTCCCACACCACGAATAATTCTCCCTCTCACCGTGCCAGTGGGTTCCTGTCAATCGTGAGAGCCCTGGCTGCGTGGTGAGCCACGCCTTGGCCCGCCCCCCACCCCAGCTGTCCTCTTCCTGTCTGGGAGGATCTGCTGCCACCTGGGAGAGTTGCTGGGCTGGCATGTGCATGGATGTGTTGGTCCCTGCACGCATCAGGCTGTGTTCCCTCGCCGTCAGGGGGTCCAGCCCCAACATCCATCCACCCCAGGAGGCGAGGAGCCGGGGCCGGGCTCTGGTCCCAGCAGGCGGCTTGAAGGCCAGGGAAGCGGCCACCGACCCCTTTCCCATCCCGTGCTGCCCCCTGTGCTGCTCTCCAGGTACCTCCTCTTCATGAAGCTGGCCGCCCTGCAGCTGATGCAGCAGAAAGCCAGCAAGATGGAGAACTCCACCCCGTTGGAAAACGGCAGCCCGCCCTCCCCGGAGTCCAAGTCTGAAGACCCTGTGGGACCCGAGGCGGGAAGTGAGGAGGAGGGGGGCAATGCCAGTGGCCTGGCCAAGGTGAAGGAGCTGGCAGAGACCATCGCCTCAGACGACGGGACAGGTGGGCTGCTGTGGGTGCGGGGAGCCCCGGCCCTGTCCTGGCCGAGGGGCTTGCACGGGCAGCTCCAGAGAGGCAGGCGGCGGCGGCACTCACCTGCCATGCCTCCACAGCAGACCCGCGGAGCCGGGAGGTGATCCGCAACGCGTGCAAGGCCGTCGGCTCCATCAGCAGCACGGCCTTCGACGTCCGCTTCAACCCGGACATCTTCTCACCAGGCAGGTGGAGGAGCGGGGCGGGCGGAGTCTGGGGTCACCTGGGGCCTCAGTGCTGGAGGCCCTTCCCCGACCTGCACGATGGCAGCCCCCACCTCCCTTCACCCGGCTCAAGCCTGTGCTCCCCCTCCCGCAGGGGTCCGCTTCCCCGAGTCCTGCCAGGAGGAAGTGCGGGACCAGAAGCAGCTGCTCAAAGACGCCGCTGCCTTCCTGCTCTCCTGCCAGATCCCCGGCTTGGTGAGTCCTGGCTGCGGGGGCGGGGCTGCGGGGCAGGGCTGGTACAGATCTTAGAGGCCTGGGAGACCGTCACAGGAGTGACTTCTTTATTTATTTATTTATTTACTTATTTTATTTTTTTAAAATATATTTTATTGATTTTGTACAGATAGGAAGGGAGAGAGATAGAGAGTTAGAAACATCGATGAGAGAGAGTCATCGATCAGCCACCTCCTGCACACCCCCCACTGGGGATATGCCCGCAACCAAGGCACATGCCCTTGACCGGAATCGAACCTGGGACCCTTCAGTCCCCAAGCCGATGCTCTATCCATTGAGCCAAACCCGGTTTCGGTGGGAGTGACTTCTTTAGACCTGCTGACTTGAGAGGCAGGCGGGGCAAAGTGCTCACCCCTGCCTGACCCAAAGCAACCAAGGGGGGGCTCTGCTCCTCCGTGCAGCCGGCAGTGGGGGTCTGGTCCCCTGTGGACGAATGGCTGACAGGGGCAGGGGGCACCTGGGAGAGAAGGTGAGGGGTCCTGTCCGCCTCACCCTCCTGAGCTTTATGTGTAAGCCCCGTGGGTGCCAGGGAGGTTTGCTCCTACGGAGACAGCTCCGTGACCAGTGGTGCTTTTGTCTCAGAACTTGGAGCTGAGCCTGCTGGGCCAGCTACCCCGGTCCCCAGGGTCACCTCCGCTCCTTCCCTCCTGGTCACGCGGCTCTCAGCCCATCACCAGCAGGCTCCCTCGTCCCGCTTCCCCACCAAGTGGGCCTGGCAGTCACCCATTTTCCTGGCTTGCGTGACAGGCGGGGGGGCAGGCTCTCACCTCCTTGCTGGTCCTTGCTGCTGCTTTGGCTCCTTCCCTCTTCCCCACGGGGAGCTGGGCTCTGTCCCCTGCTTCCCTTTCGGGGGGCCCGGGAAGCTCAGGGCTGGGCGGGGAGCCTGACGTGCTGCAGCCTGCAGGTGAAGGACTGCACAGACCACGTGGTGCTGCCCATGGACGGGGCCACGCTGTCGGAGGTGATGCGCCAGCGTGGCATCAACATGCGCTACCTGGGCAAGGTGCTGGACCTGGTGCTCCGGAGCCCGGCCCGGGACCAGCTGGACCACATCTACGTGAGTGGCGCTCAGGGCGCGCTCAGGGCGGGAGGGGAGGCCTGGTGCCGGCTGGGGGCCCCGCGCCAACCGGACTTCCCTCTCGAACCTTTGTAGAAAATTGGCATCGGAGAGCTCATCACCCGGTCTGCCAAGCACATTTTCAAGACGTACTTACAGGTACCCCCTCCCTCCCAGCCCGGGAGGGTGGAGTCCCGAGGAAGCGCCCTGGGTGGGGGCCCGAGGGCCCTCTTGACTTTGGTCCGAACTTGCAGGGAGTCGAACTCTCAGGCCTGTCGGCTGCTATCAGCCACTTCTTGAACTGCTTCCTGAGCTCCTACCCCAACCCTGTGGCCCACCTGCCCGCCGACGAGCTGGTCTCCAAGAAGAGGAACAGGAGGAGGAGGAACCGGCCTCCAGGGGCGGCGGACAACACCGCCTGGGCCGTCATGACCCCCCAGGAGCTCTGGAAGAACATCTGCCAGGAGGCCAAGAACTACTTTGACTTCACCCTCGAGTGGTGCGTGCGTGCGTGCGGGCGGCGGCAGGCAGCCGGGGGAGGAGGGAGCTGGGAGCCCTGAGAGCAAGGCGGCGGCTCGGTGCCTGCAGCGGCTGCGGAGAAGGGCGGGGTGGGAGCATCTGCCGCTTCTCCCCAGCGAGTCCGTGGACCAGGCCGTGGAGACGTTCGGGCTGCAGAAGATATCGCTGCTGCGGGAGATCTCCCTCAAAACCGGCATCCAGGTAGGCGGGCGGCCCCGGGCGGCGGGCTCGCCCCCGCGCGCTGGAGGCGCCGGAGGTGCTGAGGCTGCCTGTGGGCGCTGGCTGTGTCCCCAGATCCTGCTGAAGGAGTACAGCTTCGACAGCCGCCACAAGCCCGCCTTCACCGAGGAGGACGTGCTCAACATCTTCCCCGTGGTCAAGCACGTCAACCCCAAGGCCTCGGATGCCTTCCACTTCTTCCAGAGCGGGCAGGCCAAAGTACAGCAGGGTGCGTGGCCAGGCGTGGCCGGGGGGCGGGCCTTTCCCGGCCCGGCCCTGACCTCGCCCCCCTCGGCGCCCTGCAGGCTTCCTGAAGGAGGGCTGCGAGCTCATCAACGAGGCCCTGAACCTGTTCAACAACGTGTACGGCGCCATGCACGTGGAGATCTGCGCCTGCCTGCGCCTCCTCGCCCGTCTGCACTACATCATGGGCGACTACGCCGAGGTGGGCCTTCAAACCGAGGCCCGAGGCGCATGGCCTTGACTGGAGTGAAATCCAGGACCCTTCAGCCCTGGGCCGATGCTCTAGCCAGTGAGCCAAACTGGCTAGGGCTATATATGGGTTTTTAAAAAGTACTACTGATACTTAACTTTTTGCACAATCTGAGATTTATATATATGTGTTCACATAGATTTTGTTAGGAGAAAAGAGGGTTGAAGACAGATTTTTTAAAGGTGAAATCGTCTCTTGAGTGGGGCGTAGACTTCATGGTCATAGCAGCTGAGCCGTGACCCTTTCTCTGCTGCCTTTGCGCAAAGTAAGCATAGAAAGTGCAGCCAGAGGGGCCCAAGGCCAGGCTCCTGTGGGGCTCAGAGAGCAGGGTCAGGCAGGTGGGTGTGGGACGGGCACCCACCCCGGTGACAGTTCCCCACTTCTCCAGGCCCTGAGTAACCAGCAGAAGGCGGTGCTGATGAGCGAGCGAGTGATGGGCATCGAGCACCCCAACACCATCCAGGAATATGTGAGTGGCCCCTGGGCCCGGGGCTGCCCGGCTGGGTGTGGCCCGTGGCCGGCCTGGCCTGACACGGCTGCCCCTGCAGATGCACCTGGCCCTGTACTGCTTCGCCAGCAGCCAGCTCTCCACCGCCCTGAGCCTGCTGTACCGTGCCCGCTACCTCACACTGCTCGTGTTTGGGGAAGACCACCCTGAGATGGCCCTGCTGGACGTGAGTGCTGAGGAGGGGTGGCGGGGCGAGCCTCAGCCCCAGGGGAGCGGGAGCTGACCAGGGCCCTCCCGACTGCCCCTAGAACAACATCGGGCTGGTGCTGCATGGGGTGATGGAGTATGACCTCTCGCTGCGCTTCCTGGAGAATGCGCTGGCTGTCAGCACCAAGTACCACGGGCCCAAGTCCCTCAAAGTGGCCCTCAGGTGAGGCTGCCTTGGGTTAGGGGGTGGGGGGCCCGGGCCACAGGGACAGGGTCCCAGGAAGCACCTGGATTGAGCGCGGGCACAGAACCCAGCGCTGTCTGTCCTCGGTCTGACTCCTGAGGAAGTTCCCTCACCTGCTATTCCCCCCCAAGTCCTGGGCTTGATTGTCGCCCCAGGTAGATTCCAGAGCAGGACCCAGATTAGCCTGCACCCCCTCGTTAGGCTGCCCCTGCCCCTGCCCACGCCTGTCCTTCCTGTGCCCCACACCGTGCTCCCTCAGCCACCACCTTGTCGCACGGGTCTATGAGAGCAAAGCCGAGTTCCGGTCAGCCCTGCAGCACGAGAAGGACGGCTACACCATCTACAAGACCCAGGTGGGCCAGCAGGGGCCGCGGCTGAGGCGGGGGGGGGGGGGGGCAGCAGGGCTGGGCACTCAGATCCCTGACTCCTGCCTGTGCCGCTCTCCCCGCAGCTGGGCGAGGACCACGAGAAGACCAAGGAGAGCTCCGAGTACCTCAAGTGCCTGACCCAGCAGGCCGTGGCCTTGCAGCGCACCATGAACGAGATCTACCGCAACGGCCCCAGCGCCAACATCCCGCCCCTCAAGGTGTGTCCGGGACAGAGCCGGGGCCCCTCCCCCTCCCCGTCCCCTCCCCAGGCCCACCCCGTGGCTCATCCTCCCTGGCACCCTCAGTTCACAGCCCCCAGCATGGCCAGTGTCTTGGAACAGCTCAATGTTATCAACGGCATCCTCTTCATTCCACTCAGGTGAGGCCCTCCTGCACCCGCACCCACTGGGGAACTGGCCTTTGCTTTCTTGCCTTTTGAGCCATAGTACTCTGGCATGGCTCAATGCGGGGAAATACAGCCAGCGGAGAAGTTCCTCTGAATCCTTCCGGAAATACTCCGCATCTCCGAGCAAACTAACAGCTGTCACCTTTCCCCTCTTTTACACAAACTTACAGTAGCAAACCATGCACATAGGGCTGTTTTCTGCACTTCATGCTTCTTGGCGCTCTTACCAAACCTGTAAGCATGGCTTCGTCCTTTCCCTGGCTTCCTGCGATCCCGATGCGGGCCTGTGCCTCATGACCAGGCCTGCGGTCTCCCTCCCGCGGGGGCCGTGGCTGTCAGTCAGTGGCTAGGGAGCGGACAGCGGGCCTCTCTGTGCTGCGCACCCTCCCGCCCTCGTTTGTGTGGGCATCGCCGGTGGCAGCCGCTGCAGAGGCAGCGCTGGGTGTGAAGGAGCCTGGGAGCCAGGCCTCAGCTGAGGGCTCTGGCAGGTGCGTGGAGTTCTTCGCTTTTCAGCACTTCGGGCCTTCCTGCTCTGCGGAGGGAAGGGAAGCACGCACTTGTTTCTCGCCTGTCTCGCACCAAACAAGCCTCGGAGTCTGATTTTGTCCAGGTTTAAGTTTAAGCAGAGCCAGTGAGGTGATGGGGGGCCTGGGCTCGCTCTGACCCCCGCCCTCACCCCTGTCCTCCTCCTCAGCCAAAAGGACCTGGAGAACCTGAAAGCTGAGGTGGCGCGGCGGCACCAGCTCCAGGAAGCCAGCAGAAACAGGGACAAGGCCGAGGAGCCCACGGCCACCGGGCCCGAGGCCACGGGGGCCCCCGAGGATGCGGCTGCCCAGCCCCAGGCCGCCAAGGACCCTCCTCCCCCCGGCCTGCAGGGGTAGAAAGGGAGAGACAGATGGACAGTCAGCTGCCCCATTACCCAGGGATCCAGACTCCAGGAGGAGGGGGCACGCCCTGCAGATCCGGAGAGGAAGCGAGTCCCTATTCTTCCACATTTCCAACCCCAACCCTCCCCCCAGCATCCTCCTGGGATCCTGGCCTGGCCTGTCCGCCCCCCGAGCGATGTTTTTGCACTGGTTCAATGAAAATGTCGATGCAGAGCCTAAATGAAGACACATGAGTGGAGTGTGTGGGCATCGGTTCCCAGCTGGGACAGGTGCCCCTCGGGCGCCCTGTCCTGGAGCAGGTGTGTGCGAGTGTGTCCATGCCCGTGAGCGTCTTGATCTGTCCTTCCTAACTTGTATATAGCCCGAGTCGGTTCGGAGTGGGTGACGTGCAGATGCGATTTCTCAGGTCATTTGTATGTTTGACATTACGGCTGCTGCTTCTGCTGCCACTACCCCTGGCCCCAGCCTGGCTAAAAGTCCAGGTTGGGAGCCGAAAGAGGGGTGCTTTTCTGTGTCCTGGGATGGGGAGTCAGCTCTGTGGCAGGGCTGGGGTGCACTTTAGCTCTGTGGCAAGGTGAGAGCTGCAGTGGCTTTACTAGTCATGGTTGGGCCTGGCCTGGCTGTGCTTGGGGAAGGCAGGGTGGACAGTGGTGGTTCCCAGATACCCCTGTGCCCAGCCCCCTGGTCTGCCTCTCTGCTCCTGGGGAGACCTTGGGGGCTGCAGTCTGAATGTATTCTTCTCACCACTTTAACCTGAGCTGCCTAACGCACAGTGGGAGCGGGTAGGGAACGGGCCTGGGGGAACCGGGCTGAATCACGGGTTCTGGGGGTGAGTGACCAGGTACAGGGGTGATTGCCACTGGTTTGTGGAGCCCAGCTCCCTACCTGGTCCTGCCACACAAGCACCTTCAACAGGGAGTACCTCTGGGCGTGGGGGTGGGGAGGCACCAAAGGTGGTGGCCCCACAGGCCCGCTGCTCCCTCTCCCGCCTGCCTGTGCTGCTTCTGTGCCTGCTGTTGGGGGCCTGACTGTGGGGGAGCCGTTCCAGGGGTGGGACCTCTGCCTGGGGGAGCTTGCTTATGGGTATGGTCTGTCCAAACACCTTGTTTCAAAGGGAGTGGGCGTGAGCTAGGAATCGGAGCATCCCCACAGCTGATCAAGAACTTTTTCTTGTTTTTAAACCATCACGTCTTCATTTCACATTGGAATAAAGTGAGTTTTTGAAACCTACTGCCCTAGTCCATCCTGTGTGTTCTGTTCCTGTCTTAAGTGATGGGGAGTGTTGTCAGAAATGTTACCAGTGAGAGTGTAAAGCACTTGAATGTGTGAAAATTCGGTCAAATGCAAAGTTATCGTCATTTAAGTGGGAGGAAAGGGGGTGGAGCCACAGGCACCGGGCAGGGTTTTTACCTGGCCGCCAGTCACTAACCCAGGAGAGTGGCTCACAGATGAATAGCAAGCGCTCCATGGAGTTTCTTGTGACACAGGCTGGAGTGGAGGCCAGATGGACGGAGAGGTGCTTAAGGTGGCCCAGGCCTTGGGCTGGCCTGATAGGTCACTGAGCACCGAACTGCAGGCATCTGTCTTGTCCCTTTGAGTAGGGAGGACTGGATAGCATCCCCAGGCCTGAAAGCAAGGAGCACTGGGCTGTGCATAGGGCCGTGCTCAGGTGTGGTTTAGGGCTAGCGAGGCTCGGAGACCTAGAGAATGGGGGAAGGAGGATCCACCGTGGCTGCTGAGGGGCAGAGCCTGTGAAGTGGAAGATGTATGGGGTAGAGAGGACCTGTCTGAGAAGAGGGGAAGTCTCGTTACAGGTAGTGGCTGCTGTTTGGCCATCCCTGCCTTTCTCAGTCTCATGCACACTTGAATGCCTTTTTTTTTTTTTTTTTTTTTTTTAATCTTTATTCATTTCAGAGAGGAAGAGATAGGGAGAGAGATAGAAACATCAATGATGAGAGAGAATCATTGATTGGCTGCCTCCTGCACATCCCCTACTGGGGATGAAGCCCACAACTCAGCTATGTGCCCTTGATCGGAATCGAACCTGGGACCCTTCAGTCCGCAGGCTAACTCGCTCTCCACCAAACAAACCAGCAAGGCTTGAATGCCTTTTTTAATACTTGGAGCATTCGTTGTGTCTTTTAACATTCTTAAAAAAAAAAAAAAAAAATTGCAACCCTAATGTCTTAATTTTCCTAAGCCAACTGGAAAAAAGACATCCCTGCCTTGAGGTTTTTCTTTCAAGATTGCCCTGGGTTCCTTGACATAACACCCCCTTCTCCCCTTGCCCCCTGTCCCCCTTTACAATCTCATGCCTTCCTGTGACCTTTGTCCTGGTCACGTGCTTCACAGCACTTCCAGAAACGGGGCATCATCTTGTGAAGCCGAGAATGGATCAGGTTGAATTCCTCCTGGACCTGCTAGCCACCTGAGAAGGCCCCTTTTTCACGGTTGAGTCCTTAAGCATATTAGTGGTGTCAGGTACCTTTTAACAAACTAAGGCACAAGGGGCTGTTGTTTGCTCACGGAAACAAGAGGCTCTAGGTGTGGATTTAACCCTTCCTCCTTCCCCTAGTCCATAGACTTGTTTTTTAAAAAAGGGCGAGTGGTGGTATCCACAGAAGTTAGAGAACTGGCACCTTTTAGATCATGGTCTGTGTGGATGGGCAGCTGTTCAGATTGAGATGAAGTCTCACCAACTGGCGACCCCATGCTGGTCTTTCACTATCCACTCTAACTTTTCTTCTATGTTTATTTTTGTTGTTGTTAATCTTCACTGAGGATATTTTTCCATTGATTTTAGGAGAATGGAAGGGAGAGGGGGAGACAGAAACAGTAACGTGAGACACATTGATTGCCTCCTGCATGCACCTCAACCAGGGCCGGGGAACCTGCAACCGAGGTACAGGTCCTTGACCGAATTAAACCCGGGACCCTTCAGTCCACAGGCCTGCGCTGTAGCCACTGCACCAAAACAGCTAGGGCAGTTGTCAAACTCATTTGTCAACAGAGCCAAATATCAACAGGACGACGATTGAAATTTCTTTGGAGAGCCAAATTTTTTAAAACTTCTTCTAACGCCACTTCTTCAAAATAGACTCGCCCAGGCCATGGTATTTTGTGGAAGAGCCACACTCAAGGGGCCAAAGAGCCGCATGTGGCTCGTGAACCACTATTTGCCAACCACTGAGCTAGGGCTTTTCTGTTTTTGATTTCTTTTACACATACTACTTTTATAACTTAAATATATTTTTAAAGGATTATAACCAAATTAAACTTTTAAGGTATGATCTGTCTGCACTCCTACCCTCCAACTGTCTTTGTGAATACTGAGAAAACAGACTTTACTGAGGAATTCTTAAATATCCTGAACCTGAAAATAAGGTATCTGGATGTATTTCTCATCCCTAACAGTCTAAATTAGCAGATCAAATAAGGCATGCATAATTAGGACACCTAGAGAAGGTAGGTAACCCTCTTCAATGGAAAGTGAAATACCCCTATTAAGTAGGCAAACCTATTGATTAAAAAAAAGAAAATTCCAGGTTTGATTCCAGTCAACGGCATGTACCTTGGTTGCGGGCACATCCCCAGTAGGTGTGCAGGAGGCAGCTGATCGATGTTTCTAACTATCCTCCCTTCCTCTCTGTAAAAAATCAATAGATTTAAAAAAGAAAAAAGCCCAGCTGGCATGGCTCAGTGGTTGAGCATTGATCTATGAACCAGAAAGTCATGGTTTGATTCCCGGTCAGGGCACATTGCTGGGTTGCAGGCCCAATCCCCAGTGTGAGATGTACAGGAGGCAGCAGATCAATGATTCTCTTTCATTGATTTTTCTATCTCTCCCTCTCTGAAATCAATAAAAGTATGTTTTTAAAAAAGAGGAGGGGGTGAAAATGAGCAAAGAGAGGTCAATGGGAGAAAAAGGAATCATATAATACTTCAATAATTAAAAAAAAATAAGATATGCAGACCAATACACAATTTCCCTGAGAACAAAGTCATTACATGTAGAACGATTGGTGAGTCTTCCTAATTGCAAGTGTGGGGGATTCTTGCTTAAGCATTCTCAGCCTCCACCTCATTTTAAAATATTTTTATTGATTTTTATAGAGGGAGGATTGATAGAAACATTGATGAGAGATAATCATTGGTCAGCTGCCTCCTGTACTCCCCCACAGGAATCCATGACCTCCTGACTCATAGGTAGATGCTCAATGATTGAGTCATGGTGGCTGGGCTCTATTTTATTTTATTTTTTTTAATATATTTTTTATTGATTTTTTACAGAGAGGAGGAGAGAGGGATAGAAAGCTAGAATCGTCGATGAGTAACATTGACCAGCTGCCTCTTGCACCCCCCCCCCCCCCCCCGGGGATGTGCCCGCAACCAATGTACATGCCCTTGACCGGAATCGAACCTGGGACCTTTCAGTCCGCAGACTGACGCTCTACCACTGAGCCAAACCGGTTTCGGCTCTATTTTATTCTTAATGGCCAACCCACAGTGGAGTAAGCAGAGGGTTGTAATATGAGCAAGGTTCTCAAGGATGGAATGAGGGCCTTTCTTGCATCATCAAGTTTAAAAATTGCTTAAAAGATGTCAGAAGGTCCTTCTTACACTTAAAATAGCAAATAAAATTCTTTATACAAGCAGAACCAGATAAGAGAAAGAGCGGGTGTATTTGGGTTCATCCCAACTCACCCTTTAGTTAGCTTAATATCCTTGGCATATGACTTAACAAGTGAGCCTGGGAGGGAGGGAGGGGCCCAAAAAAAATCAATAAAATATATTAAAAAAAAAAAAAAGTGAGCCTGTTTTCTAGTCCCTAAAAGTGCTAGTATCTACTAACAGGAAGTAATGAGAATAAAGGTGTATATTGAGAATAAAGTAAGTGTTGGCATCTAACAGGCATTCAAATGGCAGGTAATTCCCTAAGAGGGCTGGCCCACTGGGTGTATCTCAGTGGTTGTGCGTTGACTTATGAACTATGT